TTGGGACCAGTTACAATGTCTTTAGATTGCTATTTGTTTCCATTGGGCGGCGTTGGTTGGTTGGAGACTCTGGGGGATGTCACTGCTAATTTTGCCAAGCAGATTTTAAAATTTAAGGTGGACGACCAGTTAGTGCTATTGGTAGGTGACCCATCTCTGTCTCGCCTACCCATGACGTTCAATTCTCTGGAACGCATGACTTACATCGATACTTGCTACCTCTTTTGGAGTTTGGATGACGTGTCTCTCTCAACTTATGAAGGTAGTGATATCTCCTTGGCTCAACAAACTCAGTTAACAACATTCTTACATACTCACTGCCAAGTGTTTGGAGAGCCACATGGTCTTCCCCCTTCACGACTACATGACCATCAGATCATTCTGAAGGATGGAACAACTCCAGTAAGTGTTAAGCCATACCGGTATGGGCATAGTCAAAAAAATGAAATTGAACGGTTGGTGGAAGACATGTTGCTTGCAGGTATTATACAACCCAGCTCTAGCCCATTTTCCAGCCCAGTTCTCTTGGTCAAGAAAAAAGATGGCAGTTGGAGGTTTTGCGTTGACTACCGTGAATTAAACAAAGCTACGGTGCCGAATAAATATCCCATTCCAGTCATACAAGAGATGTTGGATGAGCTCCACGGCGCCCGATATTTCTCTAAAATTGACCTTCGTTCGGGCTATCATCAAATTCGAGTGGCTCCTCAAGATGTGCCAAAAACAGCGTTCCGTACTCACTCAGGCCACTACGAGTTCCTAGTCATGCCTTTCGGATTGATGAATGCGCCAGCCACTTTTCAGCAAATTATGAATGACATTTTTCGTCCATACCTTCGACGCTTTGTCCTCGTTTTTTTTTATGACATATTAATATATAGTGTGACGTGGGAAGACCATTTGCAACATCTTACTGTGGTGATGGGCATTCTGAAGCACAATCAGTTCAAGGCAAATGAAAAAAAGTGCAGTTTTGGAAAGACATCAGTAGAATATCTTGGGCATATTGTATCCCAATTCGGGGTAGCTATGGACCCTTCAAAAATCAGCAGTGTGCTTCGTTGGCCCCAACCGCAATCTTTCAAGGCTGTCAGGGGATTCTTAGGGCTCACTGGCTACTACCGTCGGTTCATTCGGGATTATGGTAAGATTGCGCAGCCTCTTACTGCCTTGTTGAAGAAAGATTCTTTAGCCCGATTTCAATGGTCGCAACCTGCCCAATCAGCTTTTGAGGCACTGAAAGCGGCAGTAACCTCTGCTCCTGTTCTTGCAACCCCAGATTTCTCTCTACCATTTCTGATTGAATGTGATGCCTCCGGTACAGGGGTGGGGGCTGTTTTGATGCAAGGACTACGTCCTATTGCATATTTTAGCAAGGCATTGTCCGGTCGCACGTTGGCCAAATCTGCTTATGAGAAAGAATTGATGGCGCTAGTTTTAGCCATTCAGCACTGGAGGCCATATCTTATAGGCAGAAAGTTTGTGGTCAGAACCGACCACAGAAGCCTACGACATCTACTCCATCAGAGAGTCACCACACCCTCTCAACAAGATTGGATTTCTAAGCTCCTGGGATATGATTTTGAAATTACATACAAACCAGGGAAAACCAACAATGCAGCAGATGCATTGTCACGTCAGCATGAGACAATGCACTTATCTGCGATTTCTCTACCAGTTTGGGCGGATTGGAGTGAGTTAGAATCAGCTATCTCTAGAGATGCTTATTTGCACTCTATTTATGAGCAACTCCAACGCGACCCCGCCAGCAGCCCACCATTCCAGTTGATTAATGGGCGACTTTTTTACAAGGGTCGAATAGTTCTCCCAGCCAATTCACCTTGGATTTCGAAGCTTCTAGAAGAATTTCACTCAACACCTATGGGAGGTCACTCTGGAGCCTATCGAACCTACCGTCGTTTGGCCGCGAACGTGTACTGGAAAGGAATGATAAAACGGGTGCAGCAGTTTGTATCTGAGTGTCTCATATGTCAAAAAAATAAGTATGAGACCTTGTCACCAGCTGGGCTTCTTCATCCACTACCCATTCCATCTGCTATATGGGAAGACATTGCTATGGACTTCATCACGGGCCTCCCTCGCTCCAATGGATTCGATTGCATTTGGGTGGTCATTGACCGCTTCACAAAATATGCACATTTTGTGGGACTACGCCACCCGTTTACTGCCAGATCTTTGGCAGACGTGTTTGCCAAGGAAATTGTTCGCTTACATGGGGTACCACATTCCATAGTAAGTGATCGGGACCCAATTTTCTTGAGTAACTTTTGGACTGAATTTTTTGCCAAGTTAGGCACCAAACTGCGGATGAGTACGTCATATCACCCACAAACCGATGGGCAGTCAGAGGTTGTTAATAGGTGTCTCGAACAGTATTTAAGGTGTTTTACTTCCGAGCAGCCAAAGCAATGGGGTCACTACTTGCATTGGGCAGAATACTGGTACAACACTTCCTTCCAGGGAGCCGCGGGGTATACCCCTTTTCAGACACTGTATGGGCGAGCAGCACCAACACTAGCTCAATATTTACCGGGGGAATTTAAAGTGGCTGCAGTGGCAGATGATCATGAGGATCGCAATGAGATTCTACGGCAGCTCCGTTACAATTTGGAGCGGGCTCAACAGCGAATGGTTAAAGTTGCCAATGCCAAACGTCGCGACTTGGAATTTCAGGTGGGTGACAAGGTCCTCCTTAAGCTCCGACCGCACAGGCAGACCACAGTGCAGAAAAGGATCAATCAAAAACTGGCCCCAAGATATTTTGGTCCTTTTGTCATCATCCGTAAATTAAGTGCAGTTGCTTACAAGCTTGCACTTCCCCCATCAGCTAAGGTCCATCCCGTTTTTCATGTCTCCCAACTAAAACGAGTTACTGGAGAACATCCCGCTCTAGCAGAACTTCCAGAGGATTTGGTGGTTGAAGACCCAGTGTTCGTTCCTCATGATATTATAGCTTCAAGAAAAATGAATGGGGTCCATCAGGTTTTGGTTCACTGGGAAGGCAGACCTACCAATGAAGCCACCTGGATGGATGCTGCAGATTTTCGCGGTCAGTTTCCCCACACCAGCCTTGTGGACAAGACTGTTTCCTTGGACGGCGGCAATGATACACGTGCAAGTGGCTGGATAGTATATTCTAGGAAAAGGAAAGGCAATCAAAGGTTTATGGAAACAAATCAGGAGCAAATCAATAAGGAGACATAATATAAAGAAGAGCACAATTAGTGGGATTACTCATTAATGGCTACAGTAGCACAATTTAAGGGATGGGACATCTATATTGATACACTTACTTTATTTATGCAGAATAATCTATTATAAATAAGGTCCTAGACTAGGAGAGGAGGATATCTGGAGTCATTACAATAATTTAGAATAGTTGGGCAGAGGTTTATCTCTGTTGGAGGTTGCCTTCTAGGTATACCTTGTCGTTGTTATCTCTTTTTTTTTTCATTTCCGGAATAAAGAATAAAGATTTGCTATTCTGATTTAAGACCATCCTGCTTCTTTACTCTATCAATGTTTGACCGACGATAAAGCAAACAAATCCCTGTCCGCACTCAAATTATTTTTAGAAAAAAATTACATATTTAGAAACTACATTAAAAGCTTTACAAAGTCGCAAAAACCAGAATCAAACTCGATAAAAATTTGATTTATAAAGTAAGAGATTAAGAGTGATTTGTGTTGACCAAGTGAATAGGATATGTGTCTTACAAATTGGGACGGAGGGAGTATATAAATTTTATTCTGCTTATAGTTCAAGTGTGAACCAATCATTGTATCAAAATTGAACAAATATTATAGGACACATATGCCAAATAGGCAGCTTATAGTAGTGTTCATTAGGCTTGGGAACTCATGGTCTTAGTTCAAGGGTGAAATCAAGATTTCTCCACATGTATTTGGACTAGATGTCATTGTATCATTTACATGATACGGAGTAGCATTTATCTGATCAACCCTTTTCTGCTAAGTTGTTCACTTGTTCACGTGTGGTTATGGTAACCCTTATTGATCCACTAGTAGAACCTTTTGATGTGTATATTAATATAAGTTTTATAAAGTTCACCAAACTGGTGCTTGAGTGTGAATACAATGTTATTTAGAGCTGTTTTTTTAGGCAAAAGTTGACATTTCCCGATTCCCATTTCCTCATGATATTCGCATTTGCATGCAAGTTGTTGGGATATTTCCCTTCAATTGAACCTAAGATGGGATTACTAAATATGCTTTCAAGTGTAATTAGATTTACTAGTACGGTAAGAAAAACGCGTCAATCGCCTGAAATTGTAAAAAAAAAATCTATCCTGCTCCCTAATAAAGTTCACCAAACGGGTGCTTAAGTGTGAAAGTGATGCATTTTCTACACAGAATAAAGATCCTATGAAATAGTAAAGCTTCAACTATCAACACACCAACAACATTACTCCCAGTTTTTTTGAGGTAAGGGGGGGTCAGATGTATGCAGCCTTACTCCTATACTAAAGCACATAGAAATTGTTTTTGGATGACCCATGATGAAAATTGCGTTCAAAATTGCGTGGCCTGACCGTTGCTTTATAACAATGAAGCACAAACAGTTTAGTGAGCCATTTTGCTTAATTCCATCATATTCCTAATCCAAAAAATTGTGAATCTTTGGCTCCATTGGAAATGATGGAGTTAAAGCTTCAACTATCACGAGTACAAATTACAAATGCCAAGAGAGGTTTTTTGTAATCCTTCATAAACCATAACATACTACTATGTTCATGTTAGGTTGTTTTTTCTTTACGGTTCTTTTATTTGGTTTGGCTGAATTTTTAGCTTATATATGCAATCTATGATGCTCTTAAGTTAATACGTATCATTTTAGACTTTTAGCACACACACATAGAGACATGTCTATGCAGTTAAAAATATATTATTATGCATAGTTATTAATTTAGCTCCTTATTATTGTTGCCAATAATAAACTAGTCAGGCTTTCCAACTTGCAGGCGGTATATGGTACTCTGTTTGAAGCTGAGCACCGATCAACGTTCTATATTCCTTATTGGAAGCTTCCTCTAGCAAGGTGGTTAGTTCCCCGTCAAAGAAAATTCCAGAATGACCTTAAGGTCATAAATGACTGTCTAGATGGTCTCATAAAACTTGCAAAAGAGACCAGACAGGTAAGAAGATTTATGATATTTTTTACGTTACAAACTTGTTTGGTACTACATCATTAGTATCATTTTGGGGTTTTCAGATGCTCTTATAATCTTATAGTGCAAAGCAGACTCAGAATACATGTCTAGTAAGTAGTAACCACTTGTTGGGATATTGCAATGGAATTGTGAGCTATTAGTTGAGATACAACATGTATTCTAAAAATCTGACTAGGTGCTGAATGGCTCCCTAATTTGCATGTACTTTGCCAAATCCGGCCATCCATGGTGCTTGGACAGTTGGACTAGATTTTATTTCACTATTCAGACCTAAATAACATTGTTTGACTTTGACTATTTCTCACTTATATCCATACTTCACAAAAAATACAACTCATAGGAAATATACTAGCTATACTTATCACTAGAGAACACAAAAATCATTCTATTAAATATTTTTTTCTATGATAGAAACCTGATTTAATTCAATTCTGAACAATAGAAAATCAAAGAGAACTGATCTAGAACAGACAATTCCTATCAATAATAGGCCCATTCCTATCAATACTCCCCCCCTAAACAACCACCTTGTCCTTAATAGTGAGAAGGGAAACTGAATGTCTGAATATATTTTGATGTATATAACTCGTTTACAATGAGCTCTATTTATACATACACTGACTAAGTCTATAAGCTAAGTAATAATATAATATTAAATGGTAGAGATATGTAACGGCTAACTACAATATTATGTCTTAAATGTGAATTATTATTTTCCTTCAATACGCCCCCGCAAGCTAGGTATTCTGTCACTGCCAAGAATCCGAAGCTTGTCTCTAAGCAGCATAAAGCGTTGCCGGGGAAGCGGTTTAGTGAGGGCATCAGCTATCTGATCAGAAGATGGGATATGATGAACTTCAAGTAGTCCTCGTTGAACCCGCTGTCGAACAAAATGAAAGTCAATAGCCACATGTTTCAAGCGAGAGTGGAAGACAGGATGGGCTGAAGATGTAGTAGCTCCTTTGTTATCACAAAGGAGGAGTGGAGGAGAAGGCAATGGATGCCGCAACTCCCGCAAAAGAGATTCAATCCAAATAATTTCAGAGGCAGCAGTAGAAAGAGCTCTATATTCTGCTTCCGTGGAAGATTTAGCAATAGTGCGTTGCTTAACAGATTTCCAAGATACAAGGGACTCCCCAAGGAAGATGGCATATGCAGTGGTAGAGGAGCGGTCATCAGGATTTCCTGCCCAGTCAGCATCAGCAAAGGCCCGGAGAGAGGGAGAGGTGCTGCGACAAAGAAAGAGCCCATGAGAGGCAGTGCCGTGTAGATAGCGCAAGAGGCGTTTGAGAAGTTGCCAGTGATTAACCGTCGGTTTATGCATAAATTGAGCCAATTTGTTAATAGCAAAGGCAGCATCTGGCCGAGTAAGATTCAAATACTGAAGTGACCCGAGGACCTGACAATAGAGAGTGGCATCACAAGAGCCTGAACTGTCAAATAGAGTTAATGAAGCAGAAGGGGCTAACGGCGTAGCAACAGGATTAGCCTCATCCATTTTTACAACTTTTAACAAGTCCATAATGTATTTATGTTGATCAAGAAAGAGTCCACCCTGTGTAGGAGTAACCTGCATGCCCAAAAAAGAGTGCAGAGTTCCAAAATCCTTGATAGAGAACTGGTGGGCCAATGAGTCAATAGTCTGACGTACCAAGGCTGGTGTAGAGCCAGTAACAATAATGTCATCCACATAAATCAATACATAGATGTAAGATGGATGAGAGGAAAAGATGAACAAACTGGCATCAGCAACAGATTGATAAAATCCAAGTGAAAGAAGAAAGCCACTGAGAGATTGATACCACACTCGAGGCGCCTGCTTAAGGCCATAAATAGATTTCCGAAGACGACAAACAAACCCAGAACCATCATTAAAACCAGGAGGTTGCTTCATGTAAACTTCCTCTTGAAGATTCCCATGTAGGAAAGCGTTATTGACATCTAACTGATGCACCGGCCAATTATGAGAAAGAGCAATAGTCAAGACAATGCGGATAGTTACCGGTTTGATGACCGGGCTAAAGGTATCAGAATAATCAATCCCAGGGCACTGATGAAAACCCTTAGCCACCAACCGAGCCTTATAGCGATCCAAGGAGCCATCTGGTTTATACTTTACAGTATATACCCATTTACAACCCACAATATTCTGACCAGGTTGAGCCGGAACAAGATCCCAAGTGCCCTGTCGAACCAAGGCATCAAATTCTACTGTCATAGCACTCCGCCATTTTGGTACCTGCATAGCTTGAGAAGCACAAGTGGGAATTACATGGTGAGGTAAAGGAACATTAGTGGCAATATTGGCCTGTTTGCGAGGTCGAAGGGTCATTGGATGGGTACATTTGGGTAGTGGAGTATTGGGTGGGTTTGAGGTAGTGAGAACAGTGGTGGTAGGTAGAGGAGGGGTGGGGTCAGGAGGATTGAGTTTGGGTCGGCGCTGGTAAGTAATAATTTGTGGTGGTGTGGGTTCAGGGAGTTGGGAATGCTGTAAATCAGTTTGGGTGGAGGTAGTGGGTGACGTGTCAAGAGCCAACTGTGGAGTTGAGGTATGAGTAGGAGGAGACGCCCCCGCAGCCAGAGTACCTGAAATGGGAAGATAAGACATAGAAGGTTGAAGCCAGTGATCAACTTCAGAAGTGATATTTGAGACAGGTGGTGAGGATGTAGAGAAGGGGAAGACTGATTCGTCAAACACAACATGTCTGCTGACAAAGATACGGTTGGTGGTAACAGATAAGGAGAGAAACGGATGTTTTTATATATTTTCAGTGTATGTAAAACTGGTTTACAAGGCTGCAATTTATACACATCCTAATCATGTATATAAGGTAAATAATAATACACATTAAATGACAAGGATTCTAACGGCTAAATACAATATTCTGGAAATCAGCTCTTTCCTTCAATACGCCCCCGCAAGCCAGGTATTCTGTCACTGCCAAGAATCCTGAGCTTGTCTCTAAGAAGGACGAAGCGTTGCCGGGGAAGCGGTTTGGTGAGGGCATCAGCTATCTGATCAGAAGATGGGATATGATGAACCTGTAGAAGTCCTCGTTGAACCCGCTGGCGAACAAAATGAAAGTCAATAGCCACATGTTTCATGCGAGAGTGAAAGATAGGATTTGCTGAAGATGTGGTAGCACCTTTGTTATCACAAAGGAGGAGTGGAGGAGAAAGGAGCGGGTGCCGCAACTCACGCAGAAGAGATTCAATCCAAATAATTTCAGAGGCAGCGGTGGAAAGAGCTCGGTATTCAGCTTCCGTGGAAGACTTAGCAATAGTGCGCTGCTTGACTGACTTCCAAGATATAAGGGACTCCCCAAGAAAAATGGCATATGCGCTGGTGGAGGAACGATCATCAGGATTCCCTGCCCAGTCAGCATCGGCAAAAGCACGGAGAGAGGGGGATGTGCTTCGACAAAGAAGGAGACCATGAGAGGTTGTGCCCTGTAGATAGCGCAAAAGACGTTTGAGAAGCTGCCAATGATTATTCGTAGGTTTATGCATGAATTGAGCCAGTTTATTAATAGCAAAGGCGACGTCGGGGCGGGTAAGATTCAAATATTGAAGTGACCCGAGGACCTGGCGATAGAGAGTGGTATCACAGGAGCCTGAACTGTCAAACAGAGTTAATGAAGCAGAGGAAGCTAATGGCGTAGCCACAGGATTAGCCTCATCCATTTTCACTATTTTCAACAAGTCCATAATGTATTTATGTTGATCAAGAAAGAGTCCATTCGGTGTAGGAGTAACCTGCATGCCCAAAAATAGTGTAAGGCCCCTAAATCCTTGATAGAGAACTGGCGGGCCAATGAGTCAATAGTCTGACGTATCAATGCTGGTGTAGAGCCAGTAACAATGATGTCATCCACATAAACCAATACATAGATGTAAGATGGATGGGAGGAAAAGACGAACAGACTGGCATCAGCAACAGATTGATAAAACCCAAGTGATAGAAGAAATCCACTAAGAGATTGATACCACACCCGAGGCGCCTGCTTAAGGCCATAAATAGATTTCCGCAGACGGCAAACAAACCCAGAACCATCATTAAAGCCAGGAGGTTGTTTCATGTAAACTTCCTCCTGAAGATTTCCATGTAGAAATGCGTTATTGACATCTAACTGATGTATCGGCCAACTATGGGAAAGAGCAATAGTCAAGACAATGCGAATAGTGACCGGTTTGATGACCGGGCTAAATGTGTCAGAATAATCAACCCCAGGGCGTTGGTGAAAGCCCTTAGCCACTAACCGAGCCTTATAGCGATCCAAAGAGCCATCTGATTTATACTTCACAGTATAGACCCATTTACAACCCACAACATTCTGACCAGGCTGAGCCGGAACAAGATCCCAAGTGCCTTGTCGAACCAAGGCATCAAATTCTACTGTCATAGCACTCCGCCATTCTGGTACCTGCATAGCTTGAGAAGCACAAGTGGGAATTATATGGTGAGGTAAAGGAGCATTAGTAGCAATATTGGCTTGCTTACGGGGTCGAAGGGTCATCAGATGGGTACGTTTGGGTGGTGGAGTATCAAGGGGTGGGTTTGAGGTAGTGGGATCAGTGGTGGTGGGTAGATGAGGGGTGGGGATAGGAGGATTGGGTTTGGTTCGGCGTTGGTAAGTAATAATTTGTGGTGGTGTGGGTTTAGGAGGGGTGGGTTCAGTTTGGGTGGAGATAGTGGGTGACGTGTCAGGAGCCAATTGTTGAGATGAGGTATGAGTAGGTGGAGACACCCCCGCAGCCAGAGTATCTGAAATGGGAAGGTAAGACATAGAGGGTTGAAGCCAGTGATCAACTTCAGAAGAAATATTTGAGACGGGTGATGAAGATGTAGAGAAAGGGAAGACTGACTCATCAAACACAACATGCCTGCTGATAAAGATACGATTGGTTGTAAGATCAAGACAACGATAAGCGCTTTGTTGGTCACAATACCCCAGGAAAACACA